TGAAGCAGTGGATAAGGCACACCCTCAAAAATAAATTTGCAAGAAAAGGACTGCAAAAAAGTGAAAACATCCAGAAGGACCTGGTTATATTGGACCTTACTTTATTTTCTATAAACTTGAAAGCATTTAACTTTCCTCTAAAAAGTCCTCTTTTTGTCTAAATTCTGATGTTTGCTCTGAAATACCAGATGAACATTAAGAAGACTGGAAGAAAATCCCCATAGACTTGTCAGCACTGAGAATAGGAAATACATACAGTTTTCACATTGCACCATAACTTGTGATTTTGTCATCACACCTACATAGTAAAAATATTTGAAATATAATGTTTAAAATGGAACTTTGTAAAATGGTGACCTTTATTTCCAAATGAAAATTAGGATACATATACCCAGAATTGTAAAAACAGGAGACACTAATAGCTAGATAGTTGGATACATAATTAGAAACTGTTTGCTCAGTGTTTTATAGTACCTGTGAAAAGTGATTTACTAGTTTCTCCTGTATTTTAACCATGTATAAATAAAGTCTTAAAACACTTTATGAGCCACAAGTTAAACAATAGTCAATATGGAGCTATATTCAAATTGTTTACAAAATAACATGGCATATATGAGACCTAAAAGGATCCTCCTATTGTATTAAGCTCTAACCTAGATGTTCAATAAACTTAGTTGAATATAATTGAGTTCTGACTACATGTAAAATAGCTGGGCACTTCAGTGGTGGAGGGTTATATAATCAATAAAACATGGTCTTTGCTAGTAATAAGATCACAGTTTTGTGGAATGAATAAGAAAAGAAAATATATTTATAATGCAAAGTGCTATGGGAATTCATAGGTGGGTATGATCATAATCAGAGGATAATGGAAACTTTCATAAGGAAGGTAGAATTTTTTTTTAAGGAGTGTCCTCAGAAGATGGACAGGATTTCAATAGGTAAAGATGGGGATGCAGCACTTTAAGCAGAGGGAAAATCAAGAACCTAGGGAATGGAGATAGGAAAGCATAGAAAATGCCTGCAAGGACCTAATTTTGGTGTGGAGCTTAAGAAAATGACTAAATTGATGTTGATGTTGCCCTTTATAACTCAAGAAGAACTCTCAGATTTGAAGGCTCTCAGATTTGTTTCTCTTGGAAGCTTGTTAAATGTAGCTACGTTGGCTATCCTTTGGAAGTTAAGATTTGTTCCATCTGGAAATATTCATTTTTAATATGCACTCCAGTTAGTGCGGAGAGCACATTTTGAGAAATATGGCTTAAGAAAAAGTGAAAAAAAAAATAAAAATAGAGAGCTTTAAATCATGTGTATGAGAACAAGACACTGAGAGATAGGAGCTGTGTAAGAACAATCTAACATTTTTTAATGGATGGTAGGGGCAAGGAAGTGGGTAGTGGCTAAAGTACTTGTTAATTATTAGTACAGATTTTAATGGCATCTGAGGTCACCAATACCAATTAGTGAGCCTTTGTCTCCAGGATATGAAATGACTACAAACTAGGATATCTGAGGAAGGGCAGTGTGACTGGGCATTACTTACTGGTAATGTGAGATTGAGTAATGTACTCCTTGCTGTCTCCTGGTAATTAAAATAGAACTACTCAGAATAACAAGGTGCACTGTCCGTTGAAGAAGAAATGGGCTTCAGATCTCAGGAAAGACATTTAGACCCAGCTAAATGAAATAACTTCCAGGTAAAATGGCAATGCTCACAGTAACTACATTGTCTGTCCACACATAGTTCCCCCCCCCCTTTATGAAGTTGGCTTATGAAGGAATCATAGGAGGTATCAAATATAAGAGAAGTTGGGAGCCTAATTGAATGTGATATCCATGCAGAACTCCCTTCTTTAAAATAAAAATTCTGACTGAGCTTTCCATAGGGCAGAACTGGTAAATTCCCTAAGAGAACTAGCCAGGAAAAGACTTTCTGAAGTATTTGCTTACTGTGCTGTAGTCAGATCTTTAACTAATTGCAGTTGCCAGATAGGTTTTCTGGGAAGATTATAAGCTATTTGACTTCAAGATCTTCAAAAGTGAAAAATAATCCCTGATATTTGTTATGTGTGCTGATCAGTATCAGGAGAAATCTTTGCCCTTATCCATCCAATATTTGTAATTACTTATGTGTCATAGTGGTACTATTGCCTCTCACACACATGTACACATCTTATTCAGTCCCACATCATTTGCAGTCACTTGAAGCATTAGGTTTGCATTTTCTTGGCTTACTAAAGTATGTACCTATCTAGAACTCTAAAATAAAGTTGGTTTTTGGGTAAGTAGTTGCCTTTGACCTATGAAAGGATGGTTGCTGGGCAGAACGCCACATCCCAAAAATATACTATTTACTTGCCACTAATATGTCTCAAAGACCACCATTAAAAATTATGTCATTTGATGGTTTAATATTTTTAATGATTCACTTTCTTTTATTAAAATATAGAAACACATGTTGATAGGTAAAAGTCTAGCATCTTTATAGGTAATAGTAACTTGTTCAGAAGAAGTCTCAGTAAGGTGACACAAAAAGTTATCCCTGATATTCATTTGAATCACATTTTTCCTGGATAAGCAACCAAATACATAATATTGCTGGAAAATACTCTCAGACCATATCATGAGTGAAATTTGGTAAAGCTTCAGGTTTTGATAAACATAAATATTCATAAATGAAAATGAAAACTTCTCATAAGAGCTCCATATGAAATAGTTTCTGACCTGTAGATTGCTCAGAATCAGGCCAGATTTAGGCCATTGGTTTCATTTTTTCTCTCTCTCTCTCTTTTTTTTTTTTCTTCCCAAAAGAAAGTAAGTAAAGTTAAGGAAGAATAGTCTCCTGAAAGCAAAAAATAATTTGATCAAGGAGTCTGGCATTTTCTTCAAATAAATATCTCATTCAAACTGGAGTCTGTTTTAGTGCCTGTTATAATATGGATCATTTCCTGAGAAAGGAAAATCTCAAAAAATAGTGGCATGCTCTGAAAACAACAACAACAACAACAAAAAGCCTCCTTCATTTTTTTGTCTCCATTACTCTTAGATAATGTGGAATTTACATTCATTATAGAACAGCTAAGTAGGGATTTTTCCATTATGGAAAGCTTTTTCAGTCATCCCAAGCAACTTTTCCTGTTAGAAAATAATGTTATTTAAACAATGGGAAAATATCGTCAGCTCTCCCAGAAGAAGCCAGAGGAACTGTAAGGGAGATACTCTATTCAGGAGCATTTCAAGGTTACAAGCTAGGGTATACATATGAAAATGCACTTGAATGTGGGCAATGACAGATTAACCAACAGGAAAAATATAGATTTTAGGAGAATGGTCATGACTTTGATTTCACTTCATTTAAGCAAATATGTTCTTAATATTTAGTTGTTTCCCTTCATTTGTGTTTATAGAATACACTGTACTTTTTCTACAAACGCACTTTTTTTTAATATTGTAAGACAACTATCATTCTGCCTCACTAGGAAAATAAGGTCCAAGAAGACAAAGATCATGTGCTTTTTCCACTGTCTATATCCCCAGTACCAAGAGTGGTACTGACTGGTGTGAGGTGGTATCTCATTGTGCTTTTGATTTGTATTTCCCTGATGCCGAGTGATGTGGAGCACTTCTTCATGTGTCTGTTGGCCATCTGGATGTCTTCTTTGCAGAAATGTCTTCTCATGTCCTCTGCCCATTTCTTGATTGGATTATTTGTTCTTTGGGTGTTGAGTTTGATAAGTTCTTTATAGATTTTGAATACTAGCCCTTTATCTGATATGTCGTTTGCAAATATCTTCTCCCATTCTGTCAGTTGTCTTTTGGTTTTGTTGACTGTTTTCTTTGCTGTGCAAAAGCTTTTGATCTTGATGAAGTCCCAATAGTTCATTTTTGTCCTTGCTTTCCTTGCCTTTGTCAATGTTTCTAGGAAGAAGTTGCTGTGACTGAGGTCGAAGAGGTTGCTTCATGTGTTCTCCTCAAGGATTTTGATGGATTCCTTTCTCATATTGAGGTCTTTCACCCATTTGGAGTCTATTTTTGTGTATGTGTAAGGAAATGGTGCAATTTCATTTTTCTGCATGTGACTATCCAATTTTCCCAACACCATTTGTTGAAAAAACTGTCTTTTTTCCATTGGACATTATTTCCTGCTTTGTCAAAGATTAGTTGACCATAGAGTTGGGTATCTATTTCTGGGCTCTCTATTTTGTTCCACTGATCTATGTGTCTGTTTTTGTACCAGTACCATACTGTGTTGATGATGACAGCTTTGTAATAGAGCTTGAAGTCTGGAATTGTGATGCCACAAACTTTTGCTTTCTTTTTCAACGTTCCTCTGGCGATTTGAGGTCTTTTCTGGTTCCATATAAATTTTAGGATTATTTGTTCCATTTCTTTTAAAAAAAAATGGATGTTATTTTGATAGGGATCACATTAAACGTGTATATTGCTTTAGGTAGCATAGACATTTTCACACATGCTTGCACACTAGACTTCAGAGTAATTACTATTAAAAAAACCCAATTCTTCCAATCCATGGGCATGGAACATTTTTTCATTTCTTTGTTTCTTCCTCAATTTCTTTCATGAGTACTTTATAGTTTTCTGAGTACAGATTCTTTGCCTCTTTGGTTAGGTATATTCCTAGGTATCTTATGGCTTTGGGTGCAATTGTAAATGGGATTAACTCCTTAATTTCTCTTTCTTCTGTCTTGTTGTTGGTGTATAGAAATGCAACTGATTTCTGTGCATTGATTTTATATCCTGACAGTCTTTGGCATTTCTAACAAGCTCTCAAACAAAGTTGGTTCACAGTCAGAGACTATATTAACTTCCAAGTGACTTCTAGCTATAGTTTTTTGTAATTCTAAAACAACTTATAGAAACTGGCTTGTCACCCCCACTTACATCAGAATTTTCCTTCATAGATTTTTGTACACATAGGCTTTTTCTTTTTTCGCAAGAAGTCCCAGAATTAATTGACTTATATGTTTTTTCACTTGCAGCTTTTCCTTTGTTTCCCATTTTTAAGCTTTCAACACATAGCTGAAAAAGTCTTGGAAAACTGATCTATCCAAATTAATCATCTCTGAAGAACTGCGGACTTACTGAGTACTAAAGCAATCCTTTCTTCTCCGTGAGGCAAACATAAGAAAAAAACAGCCTGTCAAACACCTGTAAAGAGATGGCTATCATCATATGGAAAGTTGAAGAGCTGCTACGTAGCAATTCATGGTCCAAATGGGAGAGTCAACTGTTATGATGTCCCAGAAGGTCTTATAACAGGAAACAAAAGGGGGAAATTGTAACAGCTTGTTATCTGTGCTTGCACACTGTACTTCAGTGTAATTACTATAAAAAAATCCAAAGCAAATATGCAAATAGTTCTTTGAAAAGTCCCCAAATTATGTGTAGAGGCTCAGATCAATGCAGTAAATGCAGTTATACTCACTCTCTATCACCCATTCATAATTAGTCTTTTAGGAAGAGTGGAAGTTAATTGTGAATTTATATTTAGATTCACTATTTGGCAGACAGTTGCTCTGGGAAGAAACATGCTTGCAAATTACACATGTGCTGGGCCAGAAGGATCTAAGACAGATTCTCGATATTTTATCTATGCAGTGACATACACTGTAATTCTTGTGCCAGGTCTCATAGGGAATATATTAGCCTTATGGGTATTTTACGGCTATATGAAAGAAACCAAACGGGCTGTGATATTCATGATAAACTTAGCCATTGCTGACTTACTGCAAGTTCTCTCCCTGCCACTGAGGATCTTTTACTACTTGAATTATGACTGGCCATTTGGGCCTGGCCTCTGCATGTTCTGTTTCTACCTGAAGTATGTCAACATGTATGCAAGCATCTACTTCTTGGTCTGCATAAGTGTGCGACGATTTTGGTTTCTCATGTACCCCTTTCGCTTCCATGACTGCAAACAGAAATATGACCTATACATCAGCATTGCTGGCTGGTTGATCATCTGCCTTGCCTGTCTGCTCTTTCCTCTCCTCAGAACCAGTGATGACACCTCAGGCAACAGAACCAAATGCTTTGTGGATCTTCCTACCAGGAATGTCAATCTGGCCCACTCTGTTGCCATGATTACCATTGGCGAGTTGATTGGGTTTGTCACTCCTCTTCTAATTGTTGTATATTGTACCTGGAAGACAGTTTTATCACTGCATGATAAATATCCTGTGGCCCAAGACCTTGGGGAGAAAAAAAAAGCCTTGAAGATGATTTTAACCTGTGCAGGAGTATTCCTAATTTGCTTTGCACCATATCACTTCAGCTTTCCTTTAGATTTCCTGGTCAAGTCCAACAAAATTCAAAGCTGCCTAGCCAGAAAGGTGATTCTAATATTTCATTCTGTTGCCCTCTGTCTTGCTAGTCTGAATTCCTGTCTTGACCCAGTCATATACTACTTCACCACTAATGAGTTCAGAAGACGACTTTCAAGACAAGATAGTATCCAACTCCATGCAAAATCCTTTGTAAGCAACCATACCACTTCTACTCTGACAACTGAATTATGCTAAATTAAAACAAAACCTGAATGTGGTCTAAAATGCAAGTATATCAGAACATATTTATAATACCCCAAGCCACTGGAAAGTAGTTACAGGAAGCACTCACTGCTGTTCATTTATGATCTATCTTACCTATATGATGAATTCACACCTTTATAACAGAACCTGTTTTTAAAGCATTGTATTCCACCATCACTGTTGTTGATATGTCTGTGTAATAATTTGTTATTAAGTCAGGATTTAAACTGTAAAACTTCGGTGACATTATATATATATATATATATATGCATTCAATTAGAGTCATATATATGGGAACCTAAGACACAGAAATACTATTAGCCTGGGCTCATCATAAGCACTTAGTTTTGCCGCAATGGACACTGAGTCTCTGTACTTAGAGGTGATGTAGTTGTCTATTTATACTGGTAATCACAGTTTATATTCAAATACCATATTTTGAGTGTATTTCAACTAGGATGGGCAATTTGTTATTCTGTGAAAACAGAGTAGTATAAATATGGGACTATTTTTATCTCCCATGTGTGATTATACCCTAGGGTTTGAAGACTCAAGTAACTATTTTCTTCATTTAGGTGTCAATATGAAACATCATGTCACACTTATTCATAAAATGAAAATCTGAGCTCAGGCCTCTGGTATGTTTAAAATAAGAAAAAGAAACAAATTCATATATAGTAACCTCTATGATTATATAAGATGTCTTATTGAATCCACCTAGATCAGATAGCTCACCAAAGTACATACAATGTAACCTAAATTTTCTCTATAGGTCTGGGAGATGGCAGATAAGTGACAATCAGAGTTCCAGTTCTCTTAAGCTATTTCTGAAAAATACCTATTGAAATGTATGGACCTGCCTAATAGAGAGAGTTTCCACCATCCTTCTAGAGTAACACTGAATATCTCTGACAGGATACTTCACTATTTGAGCTAATGAAAGAAGTAGCGCAGTAATTAATTACTGAGCTTAGGCCAGAATAAAAAGATGAAGAGATGGGTACACCTCTTAAAAGTCTCACCACATTGTATTTATTACTTTAAATTATGATTGTCAAGCCACCTTCGTGAACTGAAGGCAAACAGGCATGTGGACCCTAGAGGCTTCAGAAATTTTGGGGGGCCAGCTTTGCCTCAGTCATACCATTATGACTCCTGCACAGCCTACCTCCCAGCAGCTATGGAAGGAGATTCTTTCACCATTTTTGAGAAAATAAAAGTGCAGAAGATGAATTTTGACAGCATTGGACTCCCCTTACAGTTATTTACCTGTTACCTGTTTGGTACTAGTATGCAGGTAGCAGACCCAAGATATGAGTCATAGTTATATCTGAAGTTAAAATATTATAGTACCTTGAAATATGTTTTATCAAAAAGCTCTAATTTAAAACAATGATCTACTTAAAAATCTGTGTGCTATATAATAAAGACACATGCTACTTCTCATCTAGAAGGAATGTAGAAATCAACCAAAGGCTCCATCATATTTTCATAGGAAAGGAGTTGTTTTAGGCACACAGTTATGATACTAATATGATTTGGGAGAAACTGGCAAATCAAAATTAATTCTAGCATATGAGAGGAATGGAAAATATTCAAATGTTTTTTCTAGACAAGTATTGATTTTACTTTGTTATCAAAATAATACCTTATTAGAAAACAGACTTTGTGCTGCTAGCAATGGTGTGTTTATCTCCTTATTATTCATCATTATGTACATATTGTGATGTATTATAAGAGTTCTAAATGAGTGTTAAATTGTGTTTTGAAAGGAGGAACTGTAACTATGTCTGGTCTGTTTGCTTTAAAGTGATTTGTGTTTGAATATAATTTAACGGTTTAATGGGATCACAAGTAATAATTTTGTGGGTACTTACAATGAAAGAGTCTTGTTTATAGCATTTTTTTTTTACTATTTTTTAGATTAATATGGATTACACTTTCTAGGGTCGTTTTGGGGTACCAGAGATTTAATTTTATTAACATATTAATGTTACTTTAAACACCTATTTTTTTCTAAAAAGGAGAGGAAATATTTCTAGGACATTAATGAATTTCTTAGAGGAATGGTTGAAGGGGTTAGAGCCCATTTATTGGTGGTCCAGAAGCCTTTGTAGATCATTTACATCATTAGAGCAGAGGATAAGTGTCTTGTATTATGATGCTGTGTATCTAGGACCACGACTTCTCCCCAGGTCTGCCCATCTAGGTTTGAATTAAATGTAATTTACTTTATTTACTTCTCTTCTCCATCAATACATTTTCCCTCCTGTCCTATTCCCTTGTTCTTCTAGTCAGTAATCTGATCAATTTATTCATACTTAGGTGCTAGTGACTAATGTTAGTTTAATATTAACTTGCCCTGGGATACCTGAATTCAAGTTTTAGGGATAAACTATAACTAAAAGTGTTAATCCCTTACTTTTATTTTTTTTTAATTTTTTTTTAATCCCTTACTTTTAATGGGACATTGAATGACACTGTAGAAAGCTGGAGGGGAAGATTTTTTTAAGAAAGTGAATTTTACAGCAGTGTCTTTCAAATTGCATAATAAGTGATCACCTATTTTGATTGCAGTAATTTTAAGAAATATATATTTCATCCATCTATCTATCATCTATCTATCTATCTATCATCTATTATCTATCTGTACCACAATATATCAGCTTCTTATGTCTCTGCTTGTTTCCTTTTTCTTTTTGACTTTCCCCCTTCCAACTCGGGACTTTATTTTCAGGAGAAAAGCTTTGCTGTTAGGAGTCAGAGGGATGTGCTACTGCAGCTGCCATCTGGACAGCAGTCTCCTCTCTGAGCTTCTCTTTTCCTTGGAAAATCTTTTTGAATCTCCCATTTATCACTCTCTGGGTCAATGAAACCAAGGTGCAAAAGTAAGCATCCTCAACTATAGTAATATACAATTCAAAATAAATAAACTCACATTTCCTATATAAAGTTTTTTGAGTTCTGATTCCAAAAGCTACATACATGTAATTATTCCAAAACCAGAGATTTTGAATATGGGGTGATTTCCATGTTACTATTATTGTCATTATTGTTATTATTATTATTATTATATTCAAATGGTTTAAAGTTTTTCATTGTCACTCAGATAAGCAGCTAATTCTACTAACTTGTAATTCCATAAAAAAATGAGCCATTTGTCCTAGGAACAAGAGATCAAGCTACCTTGATCTGAAAGAGTACATGAGTGGAACTTTTGTGTAACTTCATTTTATATCATCATTCTGTTTTTACTTCCAAGACACTGTGAAAAATGTTGCACTTGGAATTTATTTTCATATGTAATTTATAATTTGCATTTTAGCAATAAAGATGGTCTCTGTAATTATATATTCTCTGCCTCCTAAAGTCAAGGTATATTTAGTGACTTTTTCATAAAATGATAAGCTTGAGTATTTCTTTTTCAGTATTCTCACCCACATAGATAAGTCCCATGAGGCTTCACTCTCCCTTTCTCTCCCTGGAGAGGTGCATTCTGTTCTCAAATAGAAAGATAAGGAACTTCCCTCATTCTACTCCACCCCCTTCCATCCACTTCTCCCACAGATAGACTCTCATATAACCACACCCTACTAAGATTATTCCTCACACTCACTTGTTGACCAAGTTTATTTGAATGACAATGCCCTGTATTTTCTAGAATATAGTTTATGGGCAGAAAAGGAGATAAAGTGACAGAGGGAATGTTTTCTCTTTAGTCTTAAGGGTTGTTAAGACCTGATAGTCTGATTTGTTTTGCAGTTTGCCAGGAACCCCACCCCAACAATTTTACACCATGTCCTTCCACTCTTCCAAAAACAGATTTAAAAACAAACGAACAAAAAAAATGCAAAGACAGTAAATTGTCTCTGGCCCTCTTCTCATCTTCTCTTTCTTCCACTTTAGCAACTCCCTCTTTATCTTGCCTATACCTCCAAGGCTTTGGTGAGGCCCAGGTATCTTCTCTAATAACTAGTTAGTTAAGAATTACACATTTTGAACAATCTGAGGTTTGCTGGAAGGGAGATGGGTAGGGGATGGGCTAAATGAATCGTGGGTATTAAGGAGAGAACATGTAATGAACACTGGGTGTTGTATAAGTGATGAATCACTAAATTCCACTCTTGAAACCAATATTACACTAACTAGAATTTTAAAAATAAACCTTAAAAATAAAAAAATTAAAACAAAATAAAAAGGAAAAAGGAAAAATTAAAAAAAAAAGGAATTACACATTTTGGCTACTGCAGAAATAATTTCCTAGGAAGTGGTGAAGACTTTTTAAAGAGAAATCTCTGATGTTTTGGTAGACATGGAAGAAAATAATGGGATATAAATATGGGATCTGGCCCATGCTTCCGATACCCTCAAATCACATATACACCTTTTCTGTACCTTCCAAAAGCCAGACCAGAAGTAACTTCACTGCCTCCACTACCATATTTTGGGAGGAAGGAGTGAGAGATAAACTCTCAAGTAAATGTGGCTCTTTTAACCTATTCCTTAGTTATAGAAGATGTGATGTGTGTTTGAGAAACAAAACTGAGTACTGTAACTTTTTTGAACTTCATTAACCATTTCCTCCATAGAATTTCCTCACTTATTTGATTTTGTCAAGAAGACATTTCTTCTTCTATTGTTTGTTGACTAAGTTTTATTTATCTAACTCCTTACTATGCATCTGCTAATTCCTCTAGAGGCATAACTCTTATTTGATGCCTTACCTTTGTCTCCTTGGATCTTTTCAAAGAATAATAGAGCAACTGTTCCTTGGAAGGGAGAACTATCATTAGACCTATCACCCTGACCCCAGTGTTTTCTTTCTGCAAGGGCTTCAGAAGCAGAGTTCAGAGGCAATCCTAGGATATTTTGCTCTTCAAAGTTTGATTCTGAGCATAATGGGAAGATTTGTTTCCAGCCTTTTCTAAGCAATATTGAATATCCACAACCTGTGCAATGACAAGTATCATTCATATTTTTAAAATGCTAATCTAATAACAAGAAAAAAATAAATAACCAGCTTGAAACACTAATGGTCAAAGTATTGGGCTCAAGGAATGAAAGCATGAAGTAAGTCGCCTTACCATAAGAATCCCGCCATGCTTGCATGAAGTAAAATATGTAATACGGGGTTAAAAATGTATGAAATCACAGTAGTGTCCTAAGTCACTAAATGAGTTTAACTTTTTTACATAGATGCATATAAGTCTGTGTGTAACTATGGAAAAGTTTAAATATATTCAAATGAGGAACAATTAGTATAACAAACATCCATGTCTCCATTATTCAGCTTCCATCAACATCAACACATGACCAGTCTTTATCTATGCCTGTACCTATTTTCCTTACTCTATGTTATATTAAAGTACATTTCATACACTATATAATTCCATCTTTAAATATTTTAATGTTATATTACTATTTAAATGAACTATTCAATATATGATCAAAAGCCATTAAAGATAAATGATTTTAGATGTTTTCAGTAATAACATCAAACACTAAATTCAAACAAATAAAATAATTTCTTTTTGATCAATATGAACAGGTCCCAACTAAGATAAAAATGTCTATTAACCTGACTCTGTTTTCCATAGATGAGCTTTCTACTGCAGAAGTGTGATGGAGACTTTATCCTGCAATGGTATCCTTCTTATATGAAAGATAAATAAAAGTTTTCTCAGACAAACAAAGATTGAGGGAGTTCATCACCACTAGATCTTTCTTGAAAGAAATGTTTAAAGTTCTTCAAGCTGAAGTGAAGACCCTAATCACTGAAAGAAGAAATATATGAAAGTACATGACACCCTGGTAAAGATGAAAAGTAGATAATCAGACTTAGAAAACTGTAACTCTATATTAAGGTAGTGTGCTAACACCTCAACTACAGTACAAAAGTCAAAGGAAAATTATTAAAGTAAGTATAACTACAATATATTGTTAACAAATACATAACATAAAAGAAGTAAATTGTAACATCAATAATATAAAAGAGAAGACTAGGAGAATGGGGACTTTATAGACATTCAAAGATAAGTTTCTATCAGCCTAAAATGGAATATTTTATTTATTAGACATTTTAAATAGTGTAAAGGCAACCACAAAGCAGAAACCTAGAGTAGATCCACAAAGACAAAGAAAGGGGAAAGAGAATATCACTATGGAAATTAACCAATTTACGAAAATACATAGAGACAAAAGGAAAAAGAAACAATAGAAATACGAAACAACCAAAAATAAGATAGCAGTACTAAGTCTTATATATCAATAATTATTCTAAATATAAAGGTATTGTACTTACCCATCAAAAGGTACACAATGGCTGGGTAGATTTTTTTAAAAATCAACTATATGCTGCCTAAAAAGGGCCAATTTCAGATTTAAGGGCACATATAAACTCAAAGTGAAGGGATGGAAATAGATATGCCATAAAAGTGGAAACCAAAAGAAAGTAGAGGTAGCTACATCAGACAAAATAGACTTTATGGTAAATAAGTAACAAAAGATAAGGAAGATCATGGTATAACGATAAAAAGATCAATGCATCAAAAAGATATGGTCATCATAAACATATACACACCTAACACTGGAGTACCTAAATATATTAAGCAAATGCTAACAGATTCAAAATAAGAAATACATAATAATACAAGAAGAGTAGGGGATTTCAACATTTTGCTTTCAATAATGGATAAAGTAATATAGACAGAAAATCAACAAGGAGATAATGGACTTGAAACATACATTATACCAAATGGACCTAACAGAGATGTGTAGAATACTCCATCTAAAAGAAAAGCAGAATACACGTTTTCAACTGCACAAAAAGCACTGTGCAGGATACATCATATGATGAGACAGAACAAATCTTAACATATGCATAAAAGATTGAAATCATACCAAGTATCTTTTTTGACCACAATGGTTCAAAACTGGAAATCAAAATAAGGAATTCTGGAAAATCTGCAAAAATACAGACACTAAACAACACACTCCTGAACAACCAAAAGATCAAAAAGGAAATTAAATGGAAATAAAAAAAATTTAGAAACAAATGAAAATAAAAACATAACTCACCAAAACCTATAGAATGGTACAAAAGCAGTTCTGAAAAGGAACTTAATACTGGTAAATGTATATATTAGGAAAAAAACAAGATGACAAATAATCTAACTTGGAATAAGAGCAAATTAAGCCCAAATTTAAGGGAAAGAGAGAATAAAGATCAGAGTGAAAGTAAATGAAATAGAGACTAGAACAAAGGAAAAGGATCAATGAGAATAAGAGTGAGATTTTCAAAAAATAAAATTTACAAAACTTTAGCAATACTGAGAAAAGAAGAGAGACAACTCAAGTAAGTAAAATTAGAGAGGAAAAAGGAGAAATAAAAAGTGACACCACAGAAATTCATAAAATATCAAGAGACAACTATACCTCTCAATTGATACAGAAAAAGCATTTGACAAAATATAGCATCTGTTCTTGATTAAAACAGTTCAAAGTATAGGAATAGAGGGAACATTCCTCAACTTCATAAAGTCTATCTATAGCAAATATCATCCTCAATGGGGAAAAGCTGACAGCCTTCCCTTCGAGATCAGGAACATGACAAGGATGCCCATTCTCACCATTCCTGTTCAATATCTTACTGGAAGTCCTAGCAACAGTAATCAGACAACAAAAAGAAATATATGGTATTCAAACTGGCAAAGAAGAAATCAAACTCTCTCTCTTTGCAGATGACATAATACTTCATATGGAAAACCCAAAAGAGTTTACCCCCAAACTACTAGATCTCATACAGCAATTCAGTAATGTGGCAGGATACAAAATCAGTGCACAAAAGTCAGTTGCTTTCTTATAAACTAACAATGAAAATATAGGAAGGGAAAATAGAGAATCAATTCCATTTACTATAGCATCAAGACCCATAAGATACCTGGGAATAAACCTAACCAAAGACGTAAAGGATCTGTACTCAAAGAACTACAGAAAACTCATGAAAGAAATTGAAGAAGATGCAAAGAGATGGAAAAGCATTCCATGCTCGTAGATCAGAAGAATAAACATTGTTAAAATGTCTATACTGCCCAGAGCAACCTACACTTTCAATGCCATCCCAATCAAAATTCCACCAGCATTTTTCAAAGTGCTAGAACAAACAATCCTAAAATTTATATGGAACCATAAAAGACCCCAAATAACTAAGGAAATGCTGAAAAAGAAAAACAAAGCTGGGAGTATCACGTTGCCTGATTTCAAGCTTGTACTACAAAGCTGTTATCACCAAGACAACATGGTCCTGGCACAAAAACAGACACATAGACTGGTGCAACAAGG